GTAGATACAGATTTAGGGTAAGGAATGATGGAGTAACTTCAATAAAATTATAATGAGCATGAGCTATTATCTATAATAAAGTAGCCTGGCAGATTCATTAATTTGGGTGACCTTAACAGTTAATTGCATTTTGTACTTGCATTTTGTGGCTGTAATGAATGGATATTTTATTTCATCACCTATCAATTTTTGCTCCTTGCAATTGACAATGAACAAAAACTGTCCTTCCCAAATTCTTTTTTTTTTTTTTTGGCATTATTATTCTTGTCTCATTGTAATGTTTAAAACTTAGAAGCATCATTTTAATTGATTTTTTCCATAGTAAATAAAAACACTCCTCTTTGTCTACACCTGAGTTTGAATTCTAATCACTAACAAAATGACTAGTTGTAGTATGCTGAATACCAAAGGAAGATATTTAGAAAATAACAGAAAGCTCCTTGAGTTTCATGTGCCCAGTTGTTCTTGGACACTAAATGAAAGGCTGTGTTTTTTGTGGAGAAACTGTATACAAATCTCTGGAATCAAATTCAGGTGTATCAGCCAGAAAATGAACACTTTTAAGGCTTGTGAAGCAACTGTTGACAGAATGCAGGGACAATGGAAGGCATTTCTTTGTTACCCTAGTACGCACACTTCTGCTAGTCTTGTCAGGATTTAAATTGTTCAGGCAATTCTGTAGCACATCACAACTTATACATACATGCTCAAATTTCAGCTAATTACTTGGGGGAAAAAAAGCACAAATTACCAAAACAATGCACTATTTAGTTAAAAAAATTAAGTTAGAGGTAGCCTAAAGTAGAAAATGAAAATTCTTGTACTTCTATTGTCTATAATTAACCAGTGTTTCAGTGAGAACACTGAAATATTTTTCTATGAACAAAATTACATTTTTTTTCCAAAATTAGGTTTACCTAGTCAATAAAGTTTGATAATTTGAATTGTAAAAAGTTAACATAATGGATAAAGATGTTGTGCTGTATGTTTACAATGGAATACTATTCAGCTATTAAAAACAAAATCCTCCCATGTGAAACAAAATGGATGGACCTACTGGAGATTATTACACTTAGTGAAATAAGTCAACTGGAGAAAGTTAACAATGTATGATTTAATTCATATGTGGTATATAGGAAAAAACAAATGGTTTAAACAAATAAAACAAAATTAAACTCTTAGACTATACGGCCAATCAGTGGTTATCAGAAGGGAAGCAGCGGGGGGTAGTGGTTAGTAAATTGGTTAAAGGTGAACAATTGTATGGTGAAGAATAGAATTGAATTTTCAGTGGTTCACTTAATGCTGTATATAGAGGTGGTGATTTTAAATGATGCATATCTAAAGCTTATATCATGCTACAGTGCAGTATTATTTCAATAAATTTTAAATAAGTATTAATACTGAATCACAAACACTAATGCTTGTATATTTTTCCGGTATGTTAAATTATTATAATTTATCCTTTGCTGAATACTTAAGTTATCCTGGATTTTCAACAATATTATTATCAATGATGTATTAATGATCTCTAATATTACTGTTCTACTTAATGTCTCTATTGATAGCTAAGGGGTTAGTGTTTCTCCGAAGTCAGTCTGTAGAGCAACCTGTCAGCCAGAAGTCAAAGGAAGGATAGGCAGCAGAGTGCCTATTTCTTTGTATTTGGTAGAGAAATACCAAATACATTGGTTTCCCCTCTGCAGAGAACTCAGTGTCTTTTTACAGCAGGAGCCACACCACTGTTTTCAGAGAAAGAGAAAAGTCAGAGAAGTGTAGACCATGTTATGCAGATATTTTTACTTTGCCCCTCTCTAAACTAGACCCATCTGTCCCATACATTACATGGAGCATCTTTGTCTTCAGCTAGAGAGAACGGTGTCTAAACTGGGCTTTGAGAGGCTTGGAAACACACCTGGTAATTATTATTTTTTAATGATTTATTTATTTATGCATACAGAACTGGGGTACATGCCAGAGGTGCAGGGGATGAGAGGATTCACCAGAGACAGATCAGGGAGCAGAACAGGCAGATGGATAAAGCACACTGCTGAGGGGAGCAGCAGGCGGGTCAGGAGAGGTCTGTGGCGCCCTGTGGGTCACCTCTGGGGCAGGCGGGGATGGAACTCATGCTGTAACTGGCCTCAGCTTCTTAGTGCTGTGCCCTAACCCGCTGCGAAACCAGGGAGGGCCCACACCTGGTAATCATTAAGAAAGGCATTCATTTAATAACTCTTGAGGCAGGAGAAGCCTATTCACCTTTGACATGCCCCTGTGCACCCCAAAACATAGCAAATGGACTGTTTTATGAGGGCAGACACATGTCTGTTTTGTCATTGAGTTCTTAGCACCTTGTACCTTACCTAGCACATAGCAGATAATAAATATTTGTTGAGTAAAGAAAAAATCTGAAGTGGAAATACCTCCATTGAACTGCCATTTGAGTCTTAGCCCTGCTTGCTTCCATAAGGAATTGGGACCACATAGGCTTGTTTCTTCAATCCTGTTGAGTGGCTGTGGGAACAGTCATGAGTCCACATCAGACCCAAGTACTATATGTGAAGACTAAATTTTCTGTTTTGAAATTTAGTCAATCTTACTAGGTACAGAAACTTTTGGTCTACAGTTTGATATATTATTCCCCTGGGAAGTGAACCCAAGGGAAAGAATCTTTTTCTAAGGGGTCTGCTTGGATAGTAGGATGTTCTTTTGGTGACAAAAAACCTTCTTGGAATCCTTTACTATTCATGTTCTTGTATACATGCTCAAAATTTAAGCTTCAGAATAGACCAACATAGGCTCTCCCTGGTGGTACAGTGGGTTAAAGTGCAGCACTATGAAGCTATCACAGTCATTGCAGCATGAGTTCAATCCCCAGCCAGGGAGCTGACCCACATGGCATGGCAGACCTCTCCTGACCTGTCCATTGCTCCCTTCAGCAGTGTATTTCAGTACATCTGCCTGTTCAGCTCCCTACTCTGTCTCTGGTGAATCCTTTCACCACCACTACCTAACACCCCCACCCCCGCTCCTCTGGCCTGTACCCCAGTTTTGTATGCATAAATAAGTCTTTAAAAAATAGAAAGATGTAATAGATGATCAAATGCTTCTCTGTTGACTGTTATGCTTCTAGAAATAGCTTCAAGGAGTAAAAATACATGTTTTAATTCATTCCAATATTTACTGAGTATATCCTAGATGTCTATATTATACTGGGTATTAGAAATAAAAAGAAGTCTCATAGTCTGATAGATATGCAGATAAATGCATAATTATCATGCAGCATGGTGGTGATATGATGGGGTAAGGAGTGGCTGCTATGGGAACATAGAGGAGGGAGTAAGTTGCTAATTCAACTTAGTTAACATAGAGAAAGTTTCATGGAGGGGAGTCCACCTTTTACAAAGTTTTGAAGGATGAGGGGAGTTTGGTGAAAAACTTTACGAATTAAAGTTCGAAAAGGGATGGTGAATCTGGGTGAGACCTTCACAATGATTAGAAATAAGATATTTGTAAGAGATGAGCTTGATGAGAGATTCTTTCTTTTTCATTTTAAGTCTACAATTTTATTACAATTAAAAAAGCATTATTTTGAGAAGGAATCTGTGTACTCCACTCAATTGTCTAAGGGGTCCTTGGCACGAAGATGAGAAACCCCTGTCATGTTAAGGGTGAGCACATTGTTGTGTAGCTGGTGGACACCCATGCCATCTGCCCCTGTTGATAAGGGGTGAAGTTTGGAAGTAGACTCTAAAGATGCTAAGTAGTCTGTACTTGGTGGTATAGATACTTGATAAGGGACTCTTTTCTGTCACCCATTAGTCTCATTAGCTCAAATTAAGACATTTATTTCATGTAAGGCTCTATTAAGAAGATCAAGAAGACTGGATTATGTTTTCATTTGAGCTTGTTAATCCTTAATTGTGGTGGTGTAATGGTTTTAGTTTAACCTTTATTTATTTAGCATTTGCTTTTATATCTAAAGTGTTTTCAGAGGCCCCTTACTCCTCTGTTCTGCAACTATTTACTTGAAGCCAAAGCTGGGCTCAGTGATTAGATCAGTTCTAATATATAGCTGAGACAATTTATGAACTGACTCCCCAAAATTAACTTTAACATCTTGTGTGGTTGGGTAGAAATGGACACAGGAGTTCAGAATTCACTTTGTTATTATGTCTCAATAGTAGCAAAGAGAGCACCTCATTTCTCAAAGTACTTACTTTTGGATTTTTTTTTTAAGATTTATTGTTTTATGCATACAGAACAGGGGTACAGGCCAGAGGTGCAGGGGCAGTGAGAGGATTCACCAGAGAGAGAGTGGGGAGCAGAACAGGCCAACTGACAAAGTACACTGCTGAGGGGAGCATCTGGTGAGTTAGGAGAGGTCTGCCACACCATGTGGATTACCTCTGGGACAGGGATCAAACTCATGCTGAAGTGGCTTTAGCTTCTTAGTACTGTGCTTTAACCTTTAGCTTCTTAGTGCTGTGCCACCAGGGAGGGCCCACTTTTGGATTTTTTTAGAAGTAAAATTAAGATTAGTGTGAAAGACAAAAGGGAATGTGAAGAGAAGACAATATAATTATAGGTCAAATATATGCCAACTCAAAAATTCTAAGAGTGAAATTCTAGAACAACATCACCTCGCAAGTGGAATTTAATATCAGATGTTCTGAATTCATTAAAAATCTCTCTTATTTATAGCTTATCTATACTTTTGCTAAGAAGTAAGAAAATGTCACTTTTTATTTCCCTTTGGGTCTATTTGTATATGTTTATCTTGCTATTTAAATGATCATTTTATAGTATGATATCAGTTTGAATTCAAAGGTTTTAGGTGTTTGCATCAGAATTTCTGCTATTGTTCATTTCTTTTTGTCATTATTTTGCAAAATAGTATCATTTTGAACAGTGAGATAAATATCTTGCAGCATAGTTTAAAAAATCACAGGGTCAAGGAAATTTCTGTATCAACTGATTCTGTTTTGTTTATTTTGCAGGTGACAATGGCTAACATTGGAATAAATGGAAATCAATCCCTGGAGACCTGTGAAACAACACTTTTTGCACTCCGAATGGCAACTTGGAATCAAATCTTAGATCCCTGGGTATACATTCTTCTAAGGAAGGCTGTCCTTAAGAATCTCTACAAACTTGCCAGACGCTGCTGTGGAGTGCATATCATCAGCTTACATGTTTGGGAGCTTAGTTCCATTAAAAAATCCTTAAAAGTTGCTGCTATTTCTGAATCATCAGTTACAGAGAAAGTGAATCAGTAAGCACTTAGTTCAATAGGGCAGTAAGTCAGCATAGATCTAGAACAAAATTAAGAAAAATAGTGGTGATTTCAGCTATTTAGATAAATATATATAAAGCTTAACTGGAAAATGCAGGTAGTATGGAAGCACTTTTGTCAGTCAGCTTTTGAAATTTGTTAAATTAACAGTATCGTGCATTTTAGTTGTTTTTATCAACTGGAGGCAATACAATGAAATAATGCCATTGGAGTCAAACTGAAAATAATTTTTGGTTTATTTGCATTATTTATGCTTTTGCAATGAGTGAGTCTGTTGAATCCAAAAGCATTTACTTGACCTGTTTGCGAAAGAATATCACCAACACAGTGAAATGGCTCTTTTGGGATTACTGCTCTGCAGCCATTTATTATAGACTAGGCTTAAAAAAATAGAGGTGTGTACACATTTTTTGATTGGGTCTATTTTGCCCATCATTATGTCAGCACAATTAATAGATGAATGGTCATGTCACATAAGTTTCACTGTGGCTTGTTATAATGACTTTCACATATACCGGCCGGAGCTGGCTAGCCTGTTTAGATTTGTGATATTTGATAAGTATGACTACTTACATTTATTGTTATAAAGGTCAATTGTTTTTGAAGTTTGTTTTTTTTTGGTACGTCATAGATTTGCACAGTTTTCAAATAATGCTCAGAAAATTCTAATATACTTATATACAATAAATAATTTTTAGAGAAATAGTGGCTCTATGTCATCACATGTATAGGCAACTTGCATTGTGGCACTTCCTAAGAAACTACCATGGATAATGCAAATAGCTGAAACCCTAGTAATAGGTGCAAAGAGCATGGGCAAAGAGCCTTTATGTTGAGCCACCATTTCTGTGTCTAAGAAAAAAGAAACACAATTTACATACAATATTCAAAACTGCAGCTAAAGTGTCTCTGCTTTCTATTTACATTTATGCGCACACACATGCACACACAAGCATAAAAAATTTCTGTTGATAGTGAATTCATAAAATCTGTGATCTGGCATCATCTAAAACTTATGCTACCCATGTTAAGGGGAAGAGTGGACAGTTAGGCATTTTGAATCGTTAAATTGATTAATTAAAAGAACAGGGATAATCTCTCTAGATTTCCTAAAATACTTTAGACCTTTTCTTTGATTATTTGTATAATGCAACCCAAAGCATTTTAGTAACCATTCAATGTTTTACATCCATTGGTTTATAGGACAGGTAGTTTTGCTATCAATATGCACTTCTATAAAAGAGTTCTTTACCTTCATTAACTGGGGTCCATTGTAAAGTTAATGTTCCCTGTGCTAATGATTTCAGAGTCTTTAGGAAAACTGTATAGCTCAAATAAGCTTAAGTTATTATGTTCACAAAGTAAATTACTCTTGACAGGTAATTTACATTGGAAATGGTTGTTAACTTTAGTGAATTTTGGAAACTTCTCATGAATAAGTGAAAATAAATTAGCCTCACTGAAGATTTAAAAACAACCATTTACCAGTGAATTTAAAGAAAGGAACTACATGTACACACACTAGTATGTAATATTCTTAATTTAAGATCTATACATGATAAATCACACACATTTAGGTGATTCTCATATGTTGTGTGCATAGTAGGTGATAAACACTCATAAAACTGAATTATAAGCAAAATTTCCATGATGTCAAATGAGCTTGGAATCGCAGTTTTTCTGTATTTTTAATTTAAACTGACAAATATATATTGGTTATTGTAGATATAAATAAAATGTATAATGTGTGTATACATACACTTTATTCAGTGTATATGTTTTTTAAAAAAGTCATTGTAATCTGTGGTTGATGTTGCAATATTTAAATGTCTTTGTGTGTTTCAAGAGTACTTATAGTACTTTTAAATGATTTAGAGCCGATATCCCCTCTCCCTAGTGCACCCCCCCTCACTATTGGTATCCTGTGGTCAGAGTATTGGTATCCTATAACTGAGGTACAAAGAATCCAAAGTAGATCCTTTTCTTTTTTATGCTATATAAGCTGCTGCAGCCACCATTTCCATGTTGATTGTTTAGGGAGAGGCATGAAGCAGAAACTTTCACACAGGATTTCTCTTCTCTGTTAGAAATGTTTCATCATTGCCTTGAGAAACTTGGTCATGTGTGTCTGCACTAAGGTGATACTGTACATGACTGTGTGTGGGAAGTATGGGTATGCAAGGTTTTAGGAGTGTCAGGGAGGTCACTCAGCCACATTGGAAGGGTTATTTGTAGGAACTGAGCATAGATTTATGGCCACTAAATTGGTTTTGTAACCTTAAACACAAGAGGTAGACACCAAAAATTGAGAAACAAATTGCAAGAGAATATATATATATATATATATATATATATATATATATATATTCCAAGCTTATAATTTACCAATTTTGAACTTTCAAGCTCAATTTAAAGCTTATAGTTAGACCATTAGAGTAACTGGATCTCCTTTCTCCTTAGAGAAATAATATCTAAGCAACTTTACATTTTGCTTGACCATAATATATATGGGGGATTCTACTATATTATTCTGAGCAAATGACTCGAAAATGCCAGGCTTTCTCTGATGTTAGTGAATTTTTTTTAAAAATAAGGTCAATATATAACAATACATAGGTTTTTATGATTATGAATACAAAGATAAATAATGTTGACTCATAATTAGTTGTGGGTACATTGTCAAACATCAGACCTTTACTTATGGATTTAATTCTGTGGTAGAAATATGCCTTCTCCCCTAAAGGTAGAGCATTGCTTCCAATTACCTACATTGCTGAAGTGGAAAATGCTTAATAGTTAGCGCTTGTACATACACATCTGTCATATAATAGTCTTGTTCGCTCACTTTCAGACTTAAAATCTGCTTTGGTTTAGTGTCTAACCTGAGTTTAGAATCCAATTAAAAGCATAGGGTGAACTTTTTATAAAACTTGTTAGCTTTACTTATATTGCCATCATTGTTCCCAATTAATAAATTGTCTGTAGTTAAAATATAAAGTGGGAATACATTTTCTTACTTCATCTGGATGTGAGAATATTTTGCTACCTTACAATAATGTTGGAGTGCAAGTTATTACTGATACATTTTCACAGTAGACGAAATGTGTTATGTGAATAAGTGTATTTTGTGTTTGTCATTCTTGGTCAGATTGTACCAGAGATTAAATAGTGATATGTATATTTTGTTGCTTGCATCATGTAATTTTAGTGTTTGACTAGCTTAAAACTTCAAACAAGTGATTTTATAATAAACTTGAAACAGTGTTTATCAAGTGTTTTGTTTTTTTTTTAAGGAAGGTATTATAAAACTTAGAACTCCTGAAAATTAAGCTATCATTCTTTTTTCTCAGATGAGAAGCATTTCCACTTATTTCCTGACATTACCATTTGGATCCCTTTCCTAGCCACTGTGACATCTGTTTCTTCTGTGCCTCACCCTACCTGGGTAGTTCATAAATTAGATGGGAATCTGATAATTTCTAAGACAGTGGCCTAGTTGTATCAGTCAAGAGACCTGAGGTATGTCTGTGATAATACACAACTGCCAAATCTTAGTGCCAGAAACCCACAAATCATCTATGGCTTCTGCCCACTCAGAAGGAGAGCTTTTCTCATTGACATCTTTCAGATCTCAGGTGACAATTTTGCCACCATCTTTTAAGTTATACAGGAAATAATAAGTGCATTGGCTCTTAGAACTGCCAACCGGAAATAATACATAATACTTTACTCACATTTCTGGGTAAAGCAAGTCTAAGGTTAATTATTTTCATCTTTGCTTTCTCTGTATAATTCACACTAGAAATGTCCTTTTTTAAAAAAATTTGAAACATTATGGGTTGAAAATATTTAAGATGCACTCATCTAAATATCTTGTAAATTTAAAGATAAGGCAGAATGAATATCACTTATGTATATAATGTGCTATTTGCAATTTATAGATATTTTACATGATTAAAAAATATAGAGTAAAAAGTGAAAAACTTGGTTTTTAAAAAGGTAGCAAAAGCATTTTGGTACAATGTCAAAGCATTGTTTAATTGCATCATTGTCTGAAATGATTGCTTTCTGACAAATGAGGATTTTTGAAATCTATTTTTGTTTTTAAATTTCAGCTTCCTCATGACAGAATATGTTTAGCTTGATATACTCTAATGTTGAATTTTATCAAAATATCAGAAAACCTGAAGTGTATATTAGCACTAGACCAAGATTCAGCCACATTTCTGTTTCTCCAAATGAGAACAGTCACTTCATTTCAAACCCAAATATAACAGTCTATGAGGGAAGTCAGAAACAGATAAAATTAAATCTTAGTCATCTTATTAGGTAAGTGTTTATATATCATGTGTTTTCTGCAAATGGCTCTATGAAGAAGTTACTGCAAAGAATTTCTAGAAGAATTCTCTTTCTGACCTGCAAAAATATCAATCAAAAACAATATACTAAGCAATTAGGAGAAAGGCTTTTATGCCACCCAAATTTTCACATTTGCTGAAGCATCTTTTTAGTTAACAATTTATTTTATGAATGAATAATTAAAATATTCTTTTATATATGTATGTTATTCATAGTAGAGACAATTATTTACATCTAAAGTAACTATTTTGGATGTGAAAGCCAGTTTACATTTCTACATCTAAGGGCATATACACTCAGTCTTGTTTCATTTTTAACTCGAATTGTTCTTAATCTCCAATGGTAAACCCAAAATTAACAAAATCCACTCTATTATTGCTGTAATGTTAACTTTCCATCCTATATTAGTATACACCTACATTTAATTTTAAAAATTAAGTTCATTCTAGATACACCTTTGTGTTCCAAAACTTTTTTATTCAGTAGTCCATGTCAGTACACACAGACTATTATTATTTTTCACTTTTTAAAATGATTATGTATACAAAGGACTGGGGTATAGGCCAGAGGTGTGGGGGAGGGGGCAGTGAGATTGAGAGGATTCACCAGAGACAGAGTGGGGAATAGAACTGGTGGATCTACTGAAATACACTGCTGAGGGGAAGCAGTAGGAGAGATCTGCCGTGCCATGTAGATCTCCCTTGCTGGGGATAGCTTCTCAGTGCTGTACTTTAACCCATTGGGCCACCAGAGAGGGCCCAATACTGTTTCTAACAGCAAAATAGTCTCAGGTAATGTCGATGTACCTTAATTTAAATAATAATGTTTCTGTTGAACATTGAGAGTTGTTTCATTTCCTTCTTTTAAGACTGCTATTTCAGTATGCTCCTCCTTGTTCATATTTTGTGGGGCCACTGGGTTAAGCCATGCTCATTTTCAGTGTTGATATGCTTTTGCTAAATTGTGCAATGCGTATTTCCATTCTCTGCTAAGAGAAAATATCCTCTTCCTGGCGTCACTTACCATGTGTTTTAGCAATCATTCTATTGTCATCAATCTACTCGGCAAAAATAAATCACATTTAAGTCATACTTTGTTATATTACTTGTACTTTCCATTGCTAATGTAGTTGAGCATCTTTTCCTACTTTTATTATTAGTCACTTGTGTTCCTTTGTAAATTTCCTGTTCCTGACCTTTACACACTTTTAATATTTTAATTTTTTTCTTATTGACTTGGGGAGAACATTGCATATTGAAGTGCGTCTTAGTCACCTTGGGCTGCTTTAGCCAACAGAAATTCCCCATATTTTTGAAGGTGAAAGATTTTAGGTATCTGGACAGGGTTCTCTCCCTGGTTACTTCATTTCTGTATCTCCACAGGGTAAAGAGGCAGAGAGAGAGAAAGGAAGAGGAAGGGAAAGAGAAAAACACTTTGATCTCTTTTGATAATATCACCAGGCCCATTATAAACCTTCAAGATCTTGTGAAAAACTAATTACTGCTCTAAGTTCCAGTCCAAATACCATCACTGTGGGAAACAGATTTTAACATGTAAATTGTGGGGAAACACAATTCAGCCTATTGTAGATATTAGCATTTTAGTTTTATATATAATACAAAAAAGTACAGTACCAATCTTTCCTTCCAGGTTGTATTTCTTTTTCATTAGAGGTGTTATTTAGCATTAGCATTTATATTTTGTTTTGTTTAGAAAGACTTTCCATTCTCAAACATTATAAGTATATTCCTCTATGTAATTTTCTATGACTAGTAGTTTGTTTTTGATCTTTAGATTTTGTAGTTTCTATGAAATTTATTTTTTGTGTGTAAGATAGTGACTTTTTCTTATTCCAAATGTATAACTGATAGGCCTAACATATGATAGCAATTTTAAAATAAACAAAGCATTTTAGTTATATTCCTGAAATCTTAACCTTGGCTAGATTTTCATTAGCCTATTTGAAATTTTGAACTTAGTTAATTACTATTTTTAACTCAGATTGGGAAACACCAGTCTGGATCAGTTAATAACAAAAGGAATAGTAAGTACCCTTAGTATTCAGCATTGCCACTAAGACTATAACCAATAGGAAATAGCCTTTGAATTCTTCTTCTAGTAATGAATATGGCTTTTTGTGACGACATTTTCCATTTTTAACAGATCTGTTCTGTGATCAGCAATAGGTTTCAGGATGTAATTGGGTTAATTAGGCATTCCCCTAGTTTACTAGAGATGCCACAGAGCACAATGGAGGAGACTCTTTAAATAGCAGATATTGATTGGCCCAGAGTTCTGAAGGCTACAAGTGTGAGGTAAAGGTGTCCTTAGTGTTGAATTTTTTTGAGGCTCTTTCCCTTATCTTGCAGAAGTCATCTTTTCCCTGTGTATTGATTGACATGGTCACATTTAAATTTAATTACTACTTTAAAAATCTACTCTCTAAATTGTCACACTCTGAGAAGCTGGGGGTTAGGACATCAACATGAATTTTGAGGGGACAGAATGCAGTACAGAGCAAAGATATTGTCCATAACAATAAAATAACCGGGTTACTGACACATGCAGGGAATAAGCCTGTCACCACATCTTTATTGGCCAGGCGGTTCTCAAATGCTAGTCAGTATCTCTTTTGCAAGAAGGATTTGCTAAATGAAATTGTTTGGCCCCACTTCAGTGACTGATTTAGTAGGTCTGGTTAAGGACAGAATTGAATTTGCTAATAAGGTCCCAGTTAATGCTGACTTGACGTACACATTTTGAGAAATATTGAAGTTATCTAGCGGTCAAACTAGATACAAATGGCAAGGTATAAAACAAAGAAACACAAAGCTTTAGTACTGGTAACTTAATTCCTTTCTAAATGCTTTTTATTTATTTATTTATTTTAAAGACCCACCCATTTACCCATACAGAACTGGGGTACAGGTCAGAAGTGCAGGGACGGTGAGAGGCTTCACCAGAGACAGAGTGGGGAGCAGAACAGGCCTACCAAGGAAGTACACTGCTGAGGGGAGCAGCAGGTGGGTCAGGAGAGGTCTGCCACACCATGTGAATCACCTCTAGGGTGGGGATCGAACTCATGCTGAAGTGGTCTTAGCTTCTAGTGTTGTGCTTTAACCTGCTGCGCCACTAGGGAGGGCCCGTTTTATTTTTTTTTTTCTTCAACCACAAACAAATTGGACAAAATGTTAGAGCCACATAGAAAGGGACTAGAACAATATAAGATGATACAGACTAGTAGTAAAAATCAGATACAAAAATATAAAGCAGATGTGAGGCCATAGTTTAGTCAATCACACATTTCCTTTTCTTTTAATCTTTTCAAAATTTCCCTATATTGTTGCTCATATTTGTGCAATATTGATTTCTCCCCTCATGTGTAGTCCCCATCATTCTACAACTGCAGCACCAGTAACCATAGCCCCTTGCGCCTGCTCCCTCCCCTGTTTTGACCCCTCTCCCTCCCACTCTCCTGCTGGAAGCCTCAGATTTATGGTTTGCCAGCAAGTTTTCTTTTTCCTGACCCTTTTGTTCGATTTCTCTATATCCCCCCTGTAAGTCATACAATCCAGAATTCACTTTTCCTGTTGACTTATTTCACTTAACATAATCCCTTCTATCTCCACCCATGTTACTGCAAATGGGATGAATTTATTTATTTATTTATTTTTTGATCAGTGAGTAGTATTCCTTGTGTATATATACCACTTCTTGATCCAATTATCTGTTTGGGACATTTAGGTTGTTTCCATATCTTAGTTATTATAAGTACTTCTGAAATAAACAGAGAATTAGTTTTCCTGCACTATCGTGGTTTTGTGTCCTTTGGGTATATTCCTAGGAGTGGAGTCCCTGAATCACAGGTGGACTCATTTTTAGTATGTCCACACAGCTTTTC